AGATTCTACTACTAAAAGTGTCCTGAGATAACTTCTGTTATGAATTGGCGCTATACAAATAAAATTGAATTGAATTGAATTACTTATCCGTGTTTACAGTTACAACTCTGTTAGAGTTACATACGTTTAGAAATGGATGATTAGGAGGTGTGGCCTCCAAACATGTGTTGGGAATCTTATCTGTAGGGACAAATGCTTAAAAACAACTGCAAAGCCACTGAGGAAACATACTATCTCAAAGCAGAGATGGAATAGAGAAACATTGCAAGCATTGTTGCTGAAAGAAGTCGTCAGCCGTTGGACCTCAGCTAGCTCTATACTTGCATCCGAATCCCTTATTTTTCAAAAGTTTGATATGGAGGAAAATGCACTTAAGGATGTCCAAAAACAAGGACTAAAAGCTCAAAATGAACTTCCAACTATAGTTGTGCGTGAGTTTGAGCCAGCGGACAAACCGGAGGTCCAGCAGATCTTTTATGAAGGGCTGATGGAGATGGTACCAGACACTGCCTTCAGAGGCTTGAGACATCACCCTGAGAGTCTCCTGCTCTATACTGCTATGACTGGTAAGATTATTTATATTTCACATATTTCTGTGATTGCTTCTGCAGCTTGGAAAAAGGTAAGGTTGTAATTGCAAGCACACTGATTAGAAGCATTACACATTGGAAAGACCACTGAGAGTATCAGGACAGACTGTATTTTCTTTTTAGGACACATCTCTTTTTGTTTTTTTATAAACACATCTTTCCATAGAGGTTTCTTGATTATGATTTTATTTTGTCATTTTCATTCTTTTACTAATTCTTGAGTCTTGCTCACGTTATTGTAATTCATAATGCAATGTTCAAAACAATTTTGCGTTGTGTTTGTTGTATTGTTCTCTTGCTGCCACTGTGAAGAATGTTCTTTACTCTCATATCTTTCCTCTGGCAGTTATATGTTTTGTCATCACCATGTGTTGGTGGGTGATAGGACTCCTCCCTGCAATTGTGCTGTGTGGGCGCTACCTCTACAGCAGACATGTGATCCATGGTTACCTGGAGCGCGCCATGAGCAAAGACATGGGAGACATCGAAGGCTTTTATATGAAACCATCAGGTATATTTTGTACAGTTATTTTGTACAAGTTTCAAGTGCAGTATGTACTAAACGATTGTCTCCTATTTCTGACTTACAGTGACAGTGCATGGTAGAATTGAGAAAAGTTTTACTGAATCTTTATCACTAGGATATTAATCTGTATCATATCTTGTTTCTTGATGTTGTTATTTTATCAAAATTTTAGGGCCTTGAAATTCATTCAAGGGGGAAATTTTTTTGCATTAAAAACAATTTTTGTTTTATTGATTATTACTATGAAGCCTTTTCAGCCAAAAGTAATCTACAAAAGTGCTGGAAGGTACAATATCATTAATTCAATTTAAAACTAAGCAGCCTTGGACAAGAAAGGTTTTGGGTTCATTAATAGGACTGTTTTTTTCTTTGGTTTGACAACATTTCCATAATTTACTGAAGCGTTTCACAGACAAGATGGAGACAATAATTGAATGTCTAATAAAAGAAAACTAAGAAACTAGAATACTGGATGATATGAATTACATGATTAAAGACATTCAAATATTGCATCACAGGGAGATAAAATTCACAAGCTTATTGGGAAGTTTTTTCTGTCCAGAGGCTACAAAGCAGTGTCTGATGATGGACCCACAAGTTTTACAGTGCATTGTCTAAAAATATGAAGCAGTTCAAAGTCTTCTAGCCTTGTCATTCACTCCGTGGTAATTTGTAACCTGTCTGTGCCTGCAAATCACGTTGCCATAGATATATTTTCCTTGAGACTTGGGAACCTGGACTGAAAAGGATATTGTGCATCTTCTTAGAGTGACTATTACAGTTGTAATACGATTAGGTTGGTTGGTAAGGCCAACTATCTCTTGCTGCTGTGGAAAAAAAGACATTTTAAAAACATTTTCCTTTTTTCACTTAATTTTTTCCTTCCTTTGTTCATCATTTTTATGTTTTGTCCTTGCCCTCCACTTCAGACTCCTGTTTGTGGGTAGCAGTGCTGGAAGGCAAAGTGGTGGGTGTTGTAGCAGCAGTCGGCCAGCAGAAGTCGGGAGGTGCTGTCGAGTTGAAGCGGATGTCTGTGGACCGGAGCTGTCGGCGGTGTGGAGTTGGCGTGGCACTGGGACGAAAGGTTCTGGAGTTTGCAGTCACTCACAGATACGCCTCTGTTGTCCTGGGAACCACAGCATACACACACGCTGCCCACAAGCTCTACCAGCGTCTGGGCTTCCGCTGTGTGGGGGTCACCAACGGGTATGTCACACCTGGTGCGAGATGGTCCTTACTAGAAGGAATTTTCTACAGAGTCCGCCATCATCACTACAGCCTCCATGTGCAAAATGGATAGATAGAGAGATAGATAGATAGATAGATAGACTTTATTAATCCCCGAAGAAAAATTGGGTTGTCATAGCAGCCAGGTACATT